GTATTTATACATTTAAACCATCTATATCTCCACTGTCTTATGCAGTCATCCAATTGTATACTTCAGTCATGATGACCAAACCACGCACCACATGATGAGGAGACGAGGACGACGTGTCAGTCGTCGTCTCCTCATCTTCCTCATCATATCATCAGCCACGTTATTGTGACTCATCGTCGTCATACGTCAGTCATGTCCCTTCTTTTTTTCCAATTTGGCAGGTTTCCTTAGAGCTGATGGGCTGTCCTCACCTGGGAGTGAGTATAGACACGTGGGAGCTATGGAACTGTTGTGGGTTGCATCGTGGAGAAGGCTCAAGTGGTTGACTGAAGGGGCACCCTATAATGTCTGGTGATCCTGACGTCTGAACCATCGCTGACACTTCTTTACAACATTCATACAGTGACTTCCTAGGTGACGACTTCCGGGGAAGACAACTCTCAAATGTTGTTGTTGTTGTTGTTTCAGATTTAGCTACTCAGAACGAAATGTCCATGTAGCACGGGCTATGGTGAGCCCGTAAAGAGCTCACCATACTCTCAGACTCTCGAGCTCTCTCTGGCGTTTATACCATTATCCCCTCCACCTGCCTCCACCTGGCCTCCACCTAGCCTCCACCTGCCTCCACCTGGCCTCCACCTGCCTCCACCTGGCCTCCACCTGCCTCCACCTGCCTCCACCTGGCCTCCACCTAGCCTCCACCTGCCTCCACCTGGCCTCCACCTGCCTCCACCTGGCCTCCACCTGGCCTCCACCTTCTCATAAAGTCTCGTACCAATTTAAAGTCATTTTCTCAATATTTTTTTCTGATTTGTATCATCAGCAAATGTGATGGTGTTGGACAAACTTGTGTCAAAGTCTCAGGACGGGGCCCTGGGGGACCAGGACGGGGCCCTGGGGGACCAGGACGGGGCCCTGGGGGACCAGGACGGGGCCCTGGGGGACCAGGACGGGGCCCTGGGGGACCAGGACGGGGCCCTGGGGACGACTCACGACCCCCAGAGCAACAAACTTTGAGATAATCACATCAGAGACAACCCATTGGCGCTCCAACAAAATTCCTCCTTGCCCATCTTCTATCCTGTGCTGAATCTCGATCCTAGCCAGCATCTGTCCACTACCCTCAACCTCCTCCAATCCCACCAACCTGCACTCCAACCCCTACTCTCTGTCATTCCCCATCACACCCTAATACAACTTGTTACCACTCCCAAGCCCACCAGTTCCCCCTCTGGGGCCTGGATCCCACCAACCTCCTTGCCACCAGACTAGTACAGGATCTGATACGTGTGAGTTATGAGGAAAGATAAAGAATTAAAGCTCACTTCACTTGAACATAAGAGTTAAGGGAGACATGATTATCACAAACAAGATTCTCAAAGGAATTGACAGGACACACTTGTACAAAGTATCTCAGTGAGTCACAGAGACATTATAAATATTTGTTTCTGCGTCACGGTAGTGAGCTTATATACATTGAGAACTTGTGTGGTTATCCTGAGATGATTTCGGGGCTTTTTAGTGTCCCCGCGGCCCGGTCCTTGACCAGGCCTCAACCCCCCAGGAAGCAACCCGTGACAGCTGACTAACACCCAGGTACCTATTTTACTGCTAGGTAACAGTATATATGGTGGAGACAGACTCCACACACATAGTTTCTGATGCAGATATGACCGACCAATAGCCTTGCATACCTGTACACAGTTGATTAAAAGTTAAGTAAGCATAAAATGAAGGGAAAATACAAAAGGCCTATTGACCCATACGAGGCAGTTGGTATTTATATCCACGTAAGCTCATTCATATATGTTTAACCTACGCTTGAAACAATCCAGCGCTTCCTCGTCTGTTACCCGGTAACTTGTTCCATAAAACAACACAGTTTTATAAATCAGTATATATTACATAGGTCTTTCCAGAATTTAAACTTATCCAATTTATATCCATTGTTTGTTGCTCTATTTTGTGTTGATATATTTATAGCCTTATTTATATATACTTTGTTATGCCCTTTGCTCCACAAAGCTCATCACCAACAAGTACAATTAGTTGAGTGGCGGCACCTGCATTACAGGTGTAAAATGATTTTGTCTTAATTGTTCTTGTTCCACAAATGCAGGAGACAGAATAACAAATAAAACAGGCAGGTGAGAGACCAGGAGCGTTGGATTTGAGTGAAGGGGCTGCCATTTTGGTGGTGGGAAGAGAAGGGTAGAGTGCATGAGGATGCCAGAGCTGTTGGTTACTCGAGCTGGACGGTGGCAACCTATACCTATAATAGGTTAAGTAATAATTGTAATTACGAAGCAATAAGATGATTATCTTAACATACTAAGAAGGTTAGGTAATGTCGGTGTTTTCTATGAAGTTTTTGAAGGTAAACTAAAATATTCACAATAAATTAGTATGTCACATATGCACGTATTTAATAAGTCAATATTGACTATACGAAAGTGCGAGAACAGGTTGGGCAAGTACACCCTGCCTCCGTCACCCTGTGTCCTCACCTCGACGTGTTGTTATCCCCCCCTGGTGCACGTCCCTGGGGTCTTCCCGCCACCGGCCGAGGCCACCGGTGCTCCTGCTGCCTCTATGCAGGGTCCCATCCTCATGGGTCCTGCAAGTTTTTTACCTCGCCCTCCGGAAGACTTGCACCTACAATGGCCTATTGAAGGGATGATTTTTTGTCCCACCAGCGGTGGGGGGAGACCAACGATCGCGGGTTGATGGGGGTGACTGCTGGGGAGCCTGCAAGGGAGGGGCTGAGGAGGGGGGAGGGGGGCAAGATCCTTCGACTTCCCCCCCCCCCCTCCTGCCCCTACCACCGACGGGGTCCCGGGAGCCCGGCCTTCTCGACGGTTGCCTCCTCTGATCGTCGGCAGGAAGGACCTGCAAGCGTGAATCTTCATTCCCTGAATGCCGGGTTTATGTTGTTACATAAACCCTTCCTCTTATACACACAAACACACACACACACACACACACACACACACACACACACACACACACACACACACACACACACACACACACACACACACACACACACACACACACACACACACACACACACACACACACACACACACACACACACACACACACACACACACACACACACACACACACACACACACACACACATACACACACACACATTCCCCCCCCCCCATGGGAATGAGTGATCGCAGTGTATTGATGTTTGAGTGTCTGGTCGAAGTAGGGTTAATGTACTCAAGGAAGGGCACAGAAAACAAAAGGCTGGCATTTCGAAAGGGGAACTATGAGGAGATAAGAAATTTCCTGACAGATATAACTTGGGAAACAGAGCTCAGAGTAACGACGGCCCAAGACATGATGGACTACATCACACAGAAGTGTAAGGAGGCAGCAGACAAGTTCGTCCCAGTTCAAAAGGGAAAAAATTAAATGCAGACGAGAAACCGATGGTTTAATCAGAGATGTAAGCTAGCAAAGCAACTAAGTAAAAGGGCATGGAGAAACTATAGAAATAACAGGACACTTGAGAGCAGAGAAAGATACCAGAGTGCCAGGAATGACTACGTCAGGGTGAGAAGAGAGGCAGAAAGACAATATGAAAATGAAATAGCAAGCAAGGCAAAGACTCAACCCAAACTGCTGCATAGCCACATCAAGAGAAAAAACAGGTAATGAAACTGAGGGTAGGGGGTAGACAAATTCACTACAAACGTCAAAGAAGTGTGCGAGGAACTCAATAAGAAATTCCAGGAGGTCTTCACAGTAGAGAAAGAGGAAGTCCCAGAGTTAAGAGGGAATATCTAACCAGACACAACTAGAGTAGTTTGTGGTTACCAATGGGGAGGTGAGGAAGCATCTGCTAGAGTTGGAAGTGACAAAGGCTATAGGCCCAGATGGAATCTCACCATGGATACTGAAGGAAGGAGCAGAAGCTCTGTGCCAGCCACTCTCCATGGTGTATAACAAATCACTGGTAATAGGTGAAATGCCAACAATTTGGATGACGCCTAATGTAGTCCCGATGTACAAGAAGGATGATAGGAGGTACCGAACTACAGGCCAGTGTTCCTAACTTGCATACCATGCAAGTTGACGGAGAAGATTGTGCAAAAAAAGCTAGTGGAACATCTGGAGCAAAATAACTTTGTAACACAACATCAGCAAGGGTTCAGGGATGGCAAATCATGCCTCACAGGATTAATTGAATTCTATGACCATGCAAGAAAGAGAGGGCTGGGCAGACTGCATATTTTTGGATTGCCAGAGAGCCTTTGACACAGTACCACATAAGAGACTAGTGCACAAGCGGGGGATGCAGGCAGGAGTGAAAGGGAAGGTACTCCATTGCATAAGGGAGTACCGAAGCAACAGAAGATAGCCAGTCACTGTGAGGGGTGAGGTCTCGGAGTGGCGAGGCGTCACCAGTGGAGTCCCACATGAATATTTCTGATATGTAAATGATCTCCCAGACGGAATAGACTCGTTCTTCTCAATGTTTGCTGATGATGCAAAAATTATGAGGAGGATTAAGACAGAGGAAGACAGTATGAGGCTACAAGATGACCTAGACAAGCTGAAAGAATGGTCCAACAAATGGCTACTAAAGCTTAAAAATGGCTTGCTTCGGTCAATGTGAGAGAGAGAGAGAGATACTCATGTGAAGATGAGGTACTTAGTTCGGTCAAGATGACAAACTTGTCAAGGTCAAGATGAGTGTGTCAGTAATGAGTGACGCTCTTATCTTGAGAGTGTCAGTAATATGTAAGTGCGACCGCTCTTAAGCTCTGACTTGCTCGCAAGAGCGAGCTACTTTATTTAACATATCGAAGGCTTCTTAAAAATCTTGTGCCCCAATATATTCCTTTTAATCAAAGGTAGACAGAAGAGAGTGGTAGTTATTGAACGTTAATACTGGGTTCCAAAACAGTAATTGTTGAGTTGCCGAACTGACTGATGAAACACAAGTCTGAAGATGTTTTACAATGAATTCTGAAGATGGGTTATAATGAATTCTGAATCACATTCTGATTCTGTGACCTGAGACAGGCATCATCTTCCCGTTGTGACCTGAGACAGGAATCATCTTCCTGTTGTGACCTGAGACGGGAATCATCTTCCCGTTGTGACCTGAGACGGGAATCATCTTCCCGTTGTGACCTGAGACGGGAATCATCTTCCCGTTGTGACCTGAGACGGGAATCATCTTCCCGTTGTGACCTGAGACGGGAATCATCTTCCCGTTGTGACCTGAGACGGGAATCATCTTCCCGTTGTGACCTGAGACGGGAATCATCTTCCCGTTGTGACCTGAGACGGGAATCATCTTCCCGTTGTGACCTGAGACGGGAATCATCTTCCCGTTGTGACCTGAGACGGGAATCATCTTCCCGTTGTGACATGAGACGGGAAGTTTCGAACCTGCAGATACTCATCAAATTTAGCCAAGACGAGTCGTGCTGGGTCTCGAAACTAGTGGAGTGCATAAGTTGCAAGAAGCAAGCTGCAACATGCTAGTGCTCCCTGGATCTTTACTGCTGCTGTGGGGGGGAGATGAAAGTCTGAGTTTGGGATACAGTTGAGCCAGTTGGGCCTCCGCCTGCCTAAGATGCCTTCCCAGTCATCAGATATTGCCGCTAGCACGCCTCTGATGAGTACCTCGGAAGTTTTCTTAAAACTCTCGTGGGATTTAAGAGGGAACTTCGTCCATTGAAAATACAAAAATACATCTGAAAAGATTCACCGAAACTGATGTTGCTATGAACAAGGAGAAAGTCTCTCTCTTGCACGCAGAGATGAGCACCTTCCTACAGGCCTACACAGCGGACATAATCTATAAGAAACAGGTGTTTGACCAATGGAAGTTACTGAAGCCAAATGGCTTTCCACCAAACGCGGCAATTAGTGTTTGAAACAAATCCTTCCCCCGTCCCTCGTTCCTCTATCCCACCCTGGCCAAGCCTCTCCTGTCCCTTCCTTCCTCCGGCCACAGGACAAGTGAAGTAGAGTCGAGGTGAACTTGGGGGTCTCTGGGTGTGTTTAATGCTTCATAACAGAGAGAGAGAGTGGCCGACAGAGGTCACAAAACGCAGTTTGGTGGGTGAATTTGCATAGTGTGTGAGACCATGTGAGAGCGGGGCTCCAGCGTGTGCCGCTACACGCCGCCACATCTCATTTGAATATGCAAATGTAAAGGTTAACTTTAAAAAGTTAAGTCTTAAATGGGAGGGGGGGGAGGATATTTTAATATTATAATAGGCCGGAGTGATGTTCTCAAACACTGTTGAGTTGTTGGGACGTGGGTGTGGCTATTGTGGTGGTGTGGTGGTGGTTGTGGTGTTGTGGTGTTATTGTGGTGGTTGTAACGGTGTTGTTGCAGTTGTGGTGGTTGTTGCTGTGGTGAGTTGCATTATGAAGTATTATGTGTAAAACGTTTTTCATTCATCAGCCAGGGTTGGTTAACGAGCATTTGGTCGTTCTTGACGAGGACGGGCTGGTTAATGAGGAGGTGCTGGTTGACGAGGACGGGCTGGTTGACGAGGACGGGCTGGTTGACGAGGACGGGCTGGTTGACGAGGACGGGCTGGTTAATGAGGAGGTGCTGGTTGACGAGGACGGGCTGGTTGACGAGGACGGGCTGGTTGACGAGGCCGGGCTGGTTGACGAGGACGGGCTGGTTGACGAGGACGAGCTGGTTGACGAGGACGGGCTGGTTGACGAGGACGGGCTGGTTGACGAGGACGGGCTGGTTGACGAGGACGGGCTGGTTGACGAGGACGGGCTGGTTGACGAGGACGAGCTGGTTGACGAGGACGGGCTGGTTAATGAGGAGGTGCTGGTTGACGAGGACGGGCTGGTTGACGAGGACGGGCTGGTTGACGAGGACGACCTGGGAGACGACCTGGGAGATGACCTGGAAGATGACCTGTAAGACGACCTGGGAGATGACTTGTAAGACGACCTGGGAGATGACCTGTAAGACGACCTGGGAGACGCCCTGTAAGATGACCTGGCAGATGACCTGGGAGACGACCTGGGAGGTCATCCGTAACTGTCTGCCGTGGGAGTGACAGGCACTCGGCGCCCGCGGGCCACTCTCCGCGAGGTGCTGATGGACCTCAGAACTGAGGGCTGGGGGGGAAGGGGTAACTAGGGGGCCATTAGGCACCCTTAGTTTACCCGTTGAGTAGCTCGGGGATCGAACGCCAACATGCAAGAATTGGGGCCCTTCATTACCCTTAACCTTTCACCACTCATAACCCTTCACTACCCTTAACCCTTCACTACCCTTAACCCTTCAATACCCTTCACCCACATCTTCGCCCCCCGCTCCCCCCCCCACCCCCAACACCAATAACGGGACAACAGCTTTCCCAGCGTGCAGCCCCCTCCCCCCCCCCCGGGGCTTGTGGCGGGGCTGGGGACTTCTGGCCCCCCACGCTGGCCACACACACCCCACGCTGGCCACACACACCCCACGCTGGCCACACACACCCCACGCTGGCCACACACACCCCACGCTGGCCACACACACCCCACGCTGGCCACACACACCCCACGCTGGCCACACACACCCCACGCTGGCCACACACACCCCACGCTGGCCACACACACCCCACGCTGGCCACACACACACCCCACGCTGGCCACACACACACCCCACGCTGGCCACACACACCCCACGCTGGCCACATACACCCCACGCTGGCCACACACACCCCACGCTGGCCACACACACCCCACGCTGGCCACACACACCCCACGCTGGCCACACACACCCCACGCTGGCCACACACACCCCACGCTGGCCACACACACCCCACGCTGGCCACACACACCCCACGCTGGCCACATACACCCCACGCTGGCCACACACACCCCACGCTGGCCACACACACCCCACGCTGGCCACACACACCCCACGCTGGCCACACACACCCCACGCTGGCCACACACACCCCACGCTGGCCACACACACCCCACGCTGGCCACACACACACTTCCTGATAAAGACATGTATGAATTACGAGGTCAAACAAAGGGAACTAAACTTCATATCCCTTGAAGAAGAAATCAACAGTGGAGACATGATCACAGAATACTAAATACTTAGGGGTATTGGCAGAAGAGACAAGTACAGACTGCTTGACAAGGGAGAGACACACCAACAACGCTACAAAAGTGGAAACTAAACTCCCAAATAAGCAACACAAATATTTAAAAAAGTTCTTCAAGTGTGGACGTGTTATGAAAAGGTCTGGTGTAGGGAGTGAAGCGTTGATGCGAGGCGGGACCCAAGCACTGAAGTTCAGCCACCGCAGACACAGAATATTAGCACCAAGGTGCGGCCAAGGCCTGGCCACACCAAGTGGCAACCACCGGCCTGGCCACACCAAGTGGCAACCACCGGCCTGGCCACACCAAGTGGCAACCACCGGCCTGGCCACACCAAGTGGCAACCACCGGCCTAGCCACACCAAAAGACGACCACCGGCCTGGCCACACCAAGTGGCAACCACCGGCCTGGCCACACCAAGTGGCAACCACCGGCCTAGCCACACCAAAAGACGACCACTGGCCTGGCCACACCAAGGAGGGGCATGCAGGTACATACCCTCTCCTCGGGTTCCCGGCCGGTGGGTATGCAGGCTGCTCGGGAGGCCTAAAAAAGTATACCGTTGTCTTCCTAGTTGGTATAGGCCTAGGCAACGGTTGCCTGCCGCTGTTGCCTCACTCACCTCACTCATTACTCATCCCACGGTAGAGTTCCTCAGCTCTTGTGTACTCAACACCGCAGAGCGGCGAACCTAAGAGGAATGCGAATATAGTTTTTGGTAATGTGTTGAGGCGAGTCTGAGTGCACGCCCCCTCCAGGGGGGGGGGGGGGGGGGGGGGGGGGGGGGGGGGGGCACAGCAAGAAGGGCCTACAGGCTCAGAACACCCTCCCAGCCCCTTCACGCGTCGTTAGGCCTAGCCTTGCCCTCTTCTCCCTGTGCTGCTATATACTTCACCATCATATAAAGCATCACCATCACCATCACCACACTATAATGCATCACCATCAACACCACTACAATATAAGGCATCACCATCACCACACTATAATGCATCACCATCAACACCACTACAATATAAGGCATCACCATCACCACACTATAATGCATCACCATCAACACCATATAAAACACCACCACTCTTTCCCTGTGTTTTACTCTTGCCATATTTGCTTTGTCCTGTGCCATGTTTGTGCCATTTTCTGGTCTCCTTGCAGTTCTCATTTGCCTTTCTCTTCTGAGTCTTTTTGCTGTCTCTCATTCCTCTTTAGACATCTCCTGTCTAATGAACACTGCACGGAACTTTTCCTCATTACTCAAATATCTCTTCTCTGCCGGAATATACTTAACTGTATTGCTGTTCATACAAATGACTTTCACTGGTCGTTTTTTGTCTCTCTGAAACTTACCTAGCCTGCAGAAATGCTCCATTTCCCTTGTTGCATCTCCAGCCTGAATTTTGTGTAGAATTTTTGTTATTTCATTCTGTTCCATCTCCTTATTTACCATGAGTCCTCCTCAGGCTGTAGTAAGTTGTATATTATAACCTATTTCTTCGTCTCCAACTCCTGCCTTGTACATTTCATGACTTGAGTAGTATTTACATCCTCTAACACTTCAATTACAATTTCTTTCTTTATTATGCTCCCCATACCCATCCCGTGGGCGGTGGTAGAAGGGGTTACAGAGGGTCATAATGGGTTCAGGAACTGAACCCCATAGTTCGTTTAGCTAAGCAAGTGACAATCTTGTGACGCAAGTTACACAATTGTTAATGTTGTATATACTCTATACTCCTATATCGTCTCCTTTCCCTCTGAACCCTTTGCTGCTGCAGTGAAGGTCTTATCTAATTTATGTTACGCTCTCTAGTTCTTTAATTCTCCTCCTCCTTCTCCTTCTCCTTCTCCTTCTCCTTCTCCTTCTCCTCCTCCTCCTCCTCCTCCTCCTTCTCCTCCTCCTCCTCCTCCTCCTCCTCCTCCTCCTCCTCCTCCTCCTCCTCCTCCTCCTCCTCCTCCTCCTCCACCACCTCACTACACCTACCAGATGCCCTTAAACTTGGCAATGCACATCGGGCCTAAATTCCTTCCCTGTATCATTTCTAACGGTGAGGGGTTGTAGGCCTACGGTCAAGGTAGGCCTTCCTCACTCTCTTGTCTAAACTGCAAGGGAGAGTGAGCCTTACAGCCAGGCGGTGAAGGTGTGAAGTTGGTGTGGCCGGGAGCCCCACCCTTCCCGCACTCTGCAGGGTGAGTGAGAGGGCAGCAGGGTGAGTGAGAGGGCAGCAGGGTGAGTGAGAGGGCAGCAGGGTGAGTGAGAGGGCAGCAGGGTGAGTGAGAGGGCAGCAG